GCTAGGCTTGGGGCCACCCCACTGGCCACAGATGGGTAAGAGAGGCTGGGGGCCATCCTGTTGGCTGCAGATGGTTGAGCTAGGCTTGGGGCCACCCCACTGGCTGCAGATGGATAAGAGAGGCTGGGGGCCATCCTGTTGGCTGCAGATGGTTGAGCTAGGCTTGGGGCCATCCCACTGGCTGCAGATGGGTGGGAGAAACTTGGGGTCACTCTACTGACTGCAGATGGTTGGGCTAGGCTTGAGGCCACCCCACTAACTACAAATGAATGGGAGAGACTTGGGGCCACTCTATTAGCTACAGATGGTTGAGTTAGGCTTGGGGCTACCCCACTGGCCGCAGATGGGTGGGAGAGACTTGGGGCCACTCTACTGACTGCAGATGGTTGGGCTAGGCTTGAGGCCACCCCACTGACCACAGATGGGTAAGAGAGGCTGGGGGCCATCCTGTTGGCCGCAGATGGTTGAGCTAGGCTGGGGGCCACACCACTGGCCACAGATGGGTAAGAGAGGCTGGGGGCCATCCTGTTGGTTGCAGATGGTTGGGCTAGGCTTGGGGCCACCCCACTGGCTGCCAATGGGTGGGAGAGACTTGGTGTCACTCTATTAGCTGCAGATGGTTGAGCTAGGCTTGGGGCCACCCCACTGGCTGCAAATGGGTGGGAGAGACTTGGGGTCACTCTATTACCTGCAGATGGTTGAGCTAGGCTTGAGGCCACCCCACTAGCCGCAGATGGGTGGGCAAGACTTGGGGTTACTCTACTGATTGCCGATGGTTGGGCTAGGCTTGGGGCCACCCCACTGGCCACAGATGGGTGAGAGATACTTGGGGCCACTCTATTGGCTGTAGATGGTTGAGCTAGGCTTGGGGCCACCCTACTGACTGCAGATGGGTGAGAGACACTTGGGGCCAATCTATTAGCTGCAGATGGTTGGGCTAGGCTTGAGGCCACCCCACTAGCAGCATTTGGGTAGGAATGGCTGGGGGCCACCTTATTGGCCACAGATGAATGGGCTTGGTTTGGGGCCATTCTAGTGACTGCAGATGGTTGGAGTAGATTTGAGGCTACCCCACTGGCTACAGATGGTTGAGCTAGGCTTGGTGACATCCTGCTGGCTGCAGGTGGGTGGGAGTGACTTGGGGTCACCCTATTGGCTGCAGATGGTTGGACAAGATTTGAGGCCACCCCACTGGCCACAGATGAGTGGGGGCGGCTTGGGGCCACATTATTAGTTATAGATAACTGCATTGGGCTTGGGGCCACCCCACTGGCCACAAAGGGGTGAGAGAAGTTGGGAGTCACTCCACTGGTCACAAATGGTTGGGAAAGGCTTGGGGCCACCCTGCTGGCTGAAGATGGGTAGGAGAGGCTGGGGGCCACCCTTTTGGTCACAGATGACTGTGCTAAACTAGGCTTGTTGGCTGCTAAACGTGGGGCCACCCTCCTGACCAATGATGGGTGAGAGAGGCTGGGAGCCAGTCTGCTGGCCACAGCTGTCTGAGCTTGGCTGGGCTGCTGATGTAGTGTGTGAGTCACAGCGCCCAATGATACACTTCTCACCAGCCTCGTCCTCACAGACACCTGGGACAAGCTTTTGAACGTATCAGTGGAGCTTGGGTCAGAGGACACATCTGTGTCACTCTCTGAGCCCCAGTGGACACTAAAGGACATACGGTTGGCCACTGGTCTGTGGTGTAGAATGGGGACCAGCTCTGTAGCTGCGACAGAGTGACATGGGCTGGAGGGCATATGCTCAGTCTGGGTCCTACTGGCCTCCTCCATCTCCCCAGGCCTCTGTGAGCACCCTGCCACCTTCCCAGGGAGCAGGGGGCTCATCTGCAGATCACCCTCTAAGTTGCCCTTCCAGGACTCCTCTACCAGATCCATGGCGTTCAAGCTGATCATGGATGTGTTTGATAGGCTGGCCGAGCTGGTGGTCTGTAGAGAGCTCTGGGAATTACTGAGGACCACAGAACTCTGGGAGAATCTTTTGGCCAGCTTGGTGTCTGCTGAAGGGGCCACCAGCCTGTTGAACATGGAAATGTGTTGGCCAGTTGCTGGTTGCTGGGGTTGGGGCATGGCAGACACAGACACCCACATCTGAGTACTCTCTTGGACAGGCATGGATGTGTGGGAAAGGCCCAATGGGGCTTGCGACAACTTGGGGTTGACCTGAGTCACCAGGTATTTCTGCTTTTTGGGTGCTACAGAACCTGGCAAGAGGCTGTGGGTTGCCTGGGGATCAGTGCAAGCCACTTTGCTTGTCATGACAGCCAGTGGAGGGCTTGAGGTATCCTTGCTAGGCAAGTCCCTGGGACCCATACATGCCTGCTTGTGATTTGGGGGCTGTGATCCATGAACCAGCACCCGGGCCATGGAGGATCGGTACATGCCAGCGGGGGCCCTATTGGCCTCCGAAAGCTGACACCAGCAGGATGACCCACTGCAGGTGACAGGTGATTGGTGGAACCGCGCTGCCCTCCCACTGCCCACTGAGTTTGGCGGCCTTCCTAAGAAACCTCTGCCTACCCCTGGTGACGACCATGCATGAGGGGCCACCCTGCTTACCACATGTGGCTTGTGGGAACTGGGGACTGTGTTACTGGTCACCGATGGCCTGCTGGCACTGGGGCCAACTCCATTGGCAATAAGCGGTGGCCATAGATTGGGGGGTGGCCGCAGGTGGGGTAGCTCAGGCAAATCAGGCCCGGTGCCACTAAAAGCAAATGTTTTGTCTCCCCTGGCCACCTGGCTTAAGTGTAAACTGAAAAGGTCACTGCCAGTGCCTCCCTCCCACGGTGCCTGGGGATTCAAGCCCAAGATGAGTGAACATTGGTGGATGATGGTAAACTCCCTACTGGTCAAGGTATCACACATGGAGGACCCTAACAAGCAGGGTGACCCCACAAGCTCAGCCCCATCCCCCATCTCCTCCCAGGCCACATTGCAGGGGACCCTGACCTTGCTGGGGTGCATGCTTGTGGGCCCCATGGTAGGCCTCCACATAGCCGAAGGGGTCCCCCTGCAGTCCACCTCCACCGTCCCAGGCCCTGCAGTCAGGCTGCTGCCTGCCACTTTCAGGGCTGCCTTAGGAAGTACAGCTGCTGCAGTCCGTAGCGACACCTGCGACAGAGGTGTGCTCAGCACGGCGCCCAGCTCCCCCTGGGATAGCGCCTGGCTCAGCACTGCCTGCTCATCCTCCGTTAGAGCCTTGCCGAGCACATCGGCCAGCCTGCCCTGCAGGGCCCTGGCCAGCTCTGCCCGCAGGTCACCCCGAGATAGCGTCCGTGACATGACCACGCCCAGCTCACTCCAGGACAGGACCTTGGCTAGTGCCGCACCCAGCATGCCTTGCGGCAGGGCCTTGGCCACCGTGGTGCTCAGCACCTCCTTGGAAAGGACCTGGGACAGGGTGGCCCGCACTTCACCCTGAGACAAGGCCTTGCACAGCAGTGAGCGAAGATCCTCATGGGAGCCCAGCACAGCTGTCAGCTCAGCACACAGGGACGCCAGCTGGGAGGCCACCACTTCCTCGGGACAGAGCACAGGCTGGCTGTGTGCAGGTAACGGGGTTCCGGTTGCCCCGCTGTCCCCCCAGGATTCAATGTTACAAGAAGAGTGACTGGCCAGCAGCGGTACCAGCATGCTCTGGGTTTCCGAGCCTTGCAGATGGGAGCCCTGAGCAGACTTGCCCAACGTGAGGTTGCAGTCCAGGAACTGGGTCAGTTTGTCATCAGGCTTGTCTTGAGGCAGGGGTTCCAGGGCACAGACGTGTTGGCAGGGCTGGGCAGCAGCCTTGCACCCAGCCGGCTGGGGCTTGGACTGAGTTTTTCTGAGGTCAGTGGCCTGCTGAACTGGGCAGAGAGGCTTGGCTGTTTCTGTTACTAGTCGGGCCTGGGACAGGGTCTTGGTCAATCTTGCAACCTGCTGGGCTTGCAAGTCAGTCTTGGTCAGCTCAGCATGTGTCTGAGCCTGGAACTGGGCTTTGGTCAGCTTGGCTGCCAGCTGGGCCTGGGACAGAGTTCTAGTCAAACTGGTGGGCATCTTTCTCTGGAACTGGGTCCTGCTCAGCTCAGCCACCTGCTGGGCCAGGGATTGACCCTTGGTCAATGCACTAGGTGTCTGGCCTTGGAATTGAGACTTGGTCAGCCCGGTGACCAGCTGAGCCTGGGACTGGCCCTTGGTCATCCCAGTGGGTATCTGAGCCTGGACCTGAACCTTGGTCAGTCCAGTGGGTGTCTGTTGTTGGACTTGGGTGTTAGTTAACCTGGCCAACGGCTGAGCCTGGGACTGGTTCTTGGTCATCCTGGTGGATATCTGAGCCTGGAACTGAGTACCGGTTAGCTTGGCTACTTGTTGGGCCTGGGATTGGGTCTTGGCAAGCCCAGTCGGGGTCTGGGCCTTCTTCAGCTCAGCCACCTGCTGGGTCTGGGCCTGAGCCAGGTTAGCAGGCATCTGTGCTTGGCAGTGGGGCTTGGTCAGTCCAGTCACCAGCTGGGCCTGAAATAGGGTCTTGGACAGGGTCCTGGGCAGGGTCTTGGCCAGCCCAGTGGACAGATGTCCCTGGCATTGGGTCTTGGCTAGTGTGGTGGCTGGCAGGGCCTGGCATGGGGTCATAACCACTTCAACGGGTGGACATGCCTGAGGTTGGACTCCAACTGGCTCCATTTTCTCCTGGGCTTGTGCTCGGGTCTTGCTTCTGTCCCCAACTTCTTTGGCCCAAGACAGAGTTCTGGCCACTCCCATGCTCACATTAGTTTGTGATGCTACTTCTGCTTTCATGTGTCTCTGGGGACAGACCTTAATCTTCTCAGCTTCCCAATGAGGTCTGGCTGGAGCCTTGGGTACCCCCACTTCCTGGGGTAGGCGCCTGGCCTTTCCTGCCACCGTATACGAGTGGGACGAGGCCTGCTGTGTCACATCTGACTGCTTTTCGGTGGAGGTGGCCTTCACCTTGGTTGGGTTCACTTGTGTGTGGGATAAAGACTGTGGGGTCCCACTGGCTACGCTGGCTTGTGGTGCCTTCCCAGTGGGTGTTGGGGACAGGCAGAAGGTCTTGAGGAGGGTGGCTACAGAGCGTATTTGAGCTGGGGTTCTGGTAATTATAGCAGCCAGGCGAGCTTGAGGTGGAGTCTTGGACACCGGGCATGTCTCGGATGGAATCTTGGTCATGGCTGCCACAGAATGTGTCTGGGGTGGGGTTCTGGTCATCGTGTCTGCTGGGTGTGTTTGGGGTAGGGTCTTGCAGGTTGTGGCCGCTGGGCATGTCTGGGGTGAGTGATAGGTCGTGGCAACCTCTGGACATTTCTGGGAGAAGGTCTTGTACATTGGGGGCATCAGACATGTCTGGGGTGGGATCTTGTTCATCATGACCGCTGTACGTGTCTGGGGTGAAATTTTGGTGGTGGCGACTGCTGGGCATGTCTGAGATGGGATCTTGGTCATCGCATCTGTGGTGTGTGTTCGGGGTGGACGTTTGGCCATTGTAGGTATGAGGCATACCTGAGGTGGAGGTCTGGGAGCCTCTGCTTCTACATGGACCTGGGTCTGGGTCTTGAGGGGTCCCACCTGGGCACACTTCCTGCATGGTGCTGGCTCCGTGGTCCCCACCTTGCTGGGTCTGGTGATCGCATGCTTGTCCTTCATCGTGTCTGCTTCTATGTGGACCAGGCATGAGCTCCTGATGGTCTTTGTCAACAGACAGGGGTACTGGCTCTTGGAGTCTACATGCATCGGACATGGGAATCCAATGGTTATCATCTGATGCGGCAGGAAGGTAACACTGGGGACCCCAAGCACATATGAAGTGGTCATGCAAGGCTCCAGAGGTCCCAGGGCTGCTGGGGACTTCTGCATGGCCTGCTGAGGGGCGCAGGGGGCCAGACTGTCCGAGGAAGGAAACTGGGTCTCCTTGTTGACCATGACAGGAGGGGGCAAGCTCTGTGGGAGGGGCTCCTGCCCTTCCAGATACTGCTGCTGGAACCGTACTTGCTGCGGGGGGTGGTAAGGGAGGTCCTTGTCTTCATTCCCAGTCTTCTCTGACTTCTTGCTTGAGCGGAGGATGCGCTTGTTGCTGAAACGCCGCCAAGCCTCCTGGATGGACTTGGCCGCCATCATCTGAGAGACCAGCTTCTGCCGGAGCTGGTAGCCCCTCCAGTTGGCTTGGATAAGTGTGGCTGCACGAGACATCATCATGTCCATCTCGTCCACCAGGACATTCCTGAAGGCCTGGCTCTCCACCAAAGCCCGGAGGCGGGGGATGCGGTGTGGCTCTGGCTTCTCCTTGGCTACCTGTTGCTCAAGGGCCTGCTGGGATGGGGTGGCTTCATGCTGGGGCTTGGGAAGTTGTGCCTCTGCCTCACATGTGGGATCGAGATTGGACTGGGGCTGGGGGCAGCTCGGTTTGCTGGGTGACATCTGGTTTGGGAGCTGTAGCGGTGTCTCTTGCTGCATTGTCTTGGTTCCTGAGGGGTTTGGCTTTGCCTGTGGGGATGGCAGAGAGGTGGCCAGGGCATTGGTGCTTTGCAGGCATAACGGCTCCCATTGGGCAGGTGTTCCATCCAACACCTAGATTTTATTGTTCCTGGGCCCTTGCATCTTTCTCCTCCCTTCTTATGCCATCTATGTCCTGGCCACCTGTGGATACCTATGTCTCCCTCATTGTCCCAGGGCCACTTTGTTGCTGGCACACTGGGTGTGCTTCCATCTAAACGCCTGACCACCTACCTGCATTTCAAATCACTTCTTCATCTTGAATATACAATATACTCAAGTACAGCATTGACCACATGATTTTGGAAAAATTTTTTTGTTTTTGTGTGTGTGTGTGTGTGATTGTCATTTGTCTCCACCCATTGTTCCAGATCTAACTAACTTCTGTGTCTCTGTCTCAGCCATAGAACCTGGCTCCAGGCTGTGAATGGGTGGCTAGACTGGTAAATGAGTGAGTGAGTCAAAGGATTCATAGTTGGGTAGATGGGTGGCTAGATGAATGCCTATTAGATACTGAATGGTTAAGTAAGGAGATGAATCAATGGAAGATGGGATGGGTGGAAGAATGGATGAGTAAATGAGGTTGACGGATGAATTGATAAACATAAATTAACAGGGAAATGATAAAATGAATAAATGGAGGAATTGGTGGAGAGTTGTAAATGGATGGATTGATGGATATGTGGGAGGTTACATGAGTGGATGGATAATTGGGTATATAGATGGATAGATGGGTGGGTGAGTGGATGAATGGATGGGTGGGTGGACAGTTGGGTGTATGAATAGTTAGATAGATAGATGATTAAGTGAATGTTAGCTAGATGAGTAAGTGAATGGGTGAATAGGTGGATGAATGAGTGGATGGTTAGATGAATGGGTGGGTGGGTAGGTGGTTGAATGAACAGATAGATGGATAAATGGATGATTAGATGGATAGATGATTGGGTGTCTGAGTGGATGGATGAAAGATAATTTTGTGAATGAACGAGTTGATGGGTGAAGAAATAGATAAAGGTTTAGTGAATAAACAGATGTGTGAATTAAGAGAGCTGAAGGAATGGGTGAAGAGATAAATGAATGAAAGTTTGGTGGTCATGTGGTAGATGATGGTGGATCTGTTACAGATGGAAGAATGGATAGAAGGAAGAATGAAGAGGTGATTGTGGTTTTCAAGTATAATGTAGGTGCAGAGAAAGTTGGGATACTGTTAAGGAGCCCTGTTGCATAATCTGAAAAATAACACATTTGTTTTTGACCAAAGCCCCGCTTCACCAGTCTAGATCACCAGACCCCTTGTCTTCCTACCTTGGAAGGTCATAGAGTTTGAGAAGTAGAAGAAGAAGATACAATCTCGGAAGCCAACCTGAAAGAGGGGGCAGTCTTCAGTCTTTCATCCCACGTGATGTGCAGCAACACTGCCTTGGACTGGTTCTGTCTCAAAGATCAATGCAAGAAGAAACATTAAATAAATGTAGAAACAAGCATACAAAAGTCATTATGCTCTCAAAAATATATAAATCAAGATGAATATACAAGGAAGTTTATTCTGTTGTTATCATGTTGTTGTTGTTGTTAAGTGCCGTCGAGTCGGTTCCGACCCATAGCGACCCTGTACAGGGTTTCCGAGGGTGTAAATCTTTACGGGAGTAGAAAGCCTCATCTTTCTCCCGTGGAGCGGCTGGTAGTTTCGAACCGCTGACCTTAAGGTTCGCAGCCTGATTCGTAGCCACTACGCTACCAGAGCTCCTTGTTGTTATCATGTAGCTAAAGATAAAACCATTAGAATAACCAGCGAGGCTGTTACAAAAAAATATGTTTAAGAATGCTCATCACTCTATTGTTTAGAAGTATTAAAATTAAAAACAACTTAAATGCTTCAATTAATCAATAGAACATCCATACAATGGCATGTTATCTACCTATCAGAAATGCCCAGGTGCACAAGAATGGTTAAAAAGACATGACTAGTATTAGTGAGAATGTGGAGCAAATGGAATCTCAAACATGACTGGTGGGGGTGGAAAATGGCGTACCATTTTGGAAAAATTGTTAGTAGTATCTTGAACATGACTCAGTAATTCTGCTCCCATGATATTACTAAAAAGGGAGCGCACAGGTCCACCAAACATCATACAACTATATCCCATAGGACACATCAAAAGGAAGGGATGAATCTCATAAACACTGACTAAAGGAGCTCTGGTAGCGTAGTGGTTACGAATCGGGCTGCGAACCGTAAGGTCAGCGGTTCGAAACTACCAGCCGCTCCGCGGGAGAAAGATGAGGCTTTCTACTCCCGTAAAGATTTACACCCTCGGAAACCCTGTACAGGGTCGCTATGGGTCGGAACCGACTCGATGGCACTTAACAACAACAACAACAAAGGAAGCTAGACATAAAAGAAGACAAACTGATGATTCCATTTGTTGTTTTTGTTTGTTGCTGTTGAGTTGACTCCAACTGAGGACCGTCACAAGTCAACAGAATGAAAGGTGGTCCATTCGTGCCCCATCCGCACAATCACTGGCATGTTCCGTTCTTGTTACTGTTATTATGTGATCCGTCTCGCCGAGAGTCTCCCTCGCTCTTGGTGGCCCTCTTAGTAATTGATCGCACTTGATGATGTGTTTAAACAAGTGAATTGGGTACTGTGGTTCATAAGGTTTTACTAAACAAGTGAATTGGGTACTGTGGTTCATAAGGTTTTAACTGGCTTATTTTCTAAAGAAAATTGCCAGGCCTATCTTCCTAGTCTATTATCCTATCTAGAAACTTCACTGAAGCCTGCCCACCATGAGTGACTCTATTTGAAATCCTACTGCTATTTGAATATCTGAAGCATAGCTTTCAGCATCACAGCCACACTGAAATCACCACAGGATAACACACTGGCAGATGGGTGGCAGATTCAATTTATAGAAAATTTAAAAGGGAACAGATGAAATAAGCTCTGTTCTATAAGTTGGAACCATGACTGCCCCTGAGGTGGGTTTTCAGGGGGCTAGTCACATGGGTGATTTCAGTTTGTGAAAATCCATGCACAATTGTGATCTGGGAGCTTTGCTCTCTGTATGACCCTGCATGAAAAGGTCAGCATATTCTTAAGTGATGTTGAGGAATATGTTAGGATGTGAGCACATAACCACAGAAAAATTATAAATGAAAAAAATTGCAAATTGTAAAACCAAATGCTTCTTATGACGTGATTTTAATATTTTGTGTGTGAGAGAGAGAGCCAGACAGAGCGAAAGAGAGAAGAGGGCTGAGAGACAGAAAGAGTGAGGAGGGAGAGGCAGACAGAGAAAGAGAGAGAAGAAGAAAAGAAAGAGAGATGAAAATATACACACAAAAAAATACAGAGAAAGAGAAAGTAGCAGGTGAGAGAGAAAGAGAGATGGAGAGAGTCAGACAGAATGGGAGGAAGAGAGAGACAGACAGGGTCATTCTTAAATCCATGGAGTGGATGTAAGAGAGACAGAGAGGGAGAGAGTAGTAGTAGGTAGGCACTCATGGGCACTTTCACAAACAAAATTTTAATCAAAAAACAGTGAGGATTTGAGCCTTCTAGTCAATCGACTTGATGCCCCTGGGTAGTCAGGGTAGACAATGAGAAGAGATGGGAACCTAATCTCATTTTCTCTAAACACAGAAATGATGTGTCAAATATGGAGAAACAATATTACTGTGATCTGGATCTCACACAGAGATCTGCATACAAATAGTCCAAAGACAACGTGACCAGCTATCAAAAGAACAATGCTATAGTCAAATAAAGAGTCCTTGAGTACTGCAAATAGTAATCATTCTTGATTGCTAACTGAAAGGTTGGAGGTTCAATCCCACCCAGAGCACCTCGGAAGAAAAAAAGGTGTGACGATTGAATTTCAAAATTCAAATATAGGGATTTCAAGTCACTGAAATCCCTATAAAGCATAGTTTCTACTCTGACACATATGAAGGTAGAAGGCGAGACGGACTACTTCCAAATATTTAGTCACTGATAACCTTATGAATAGCACCAGAACACCATCACATATGAGGCACCATGAATTGGGTTGATTCAATGGCACTGGCCAACACTCATCTGTTAGTCTGTTATACTATAACTGACAACTGTCTGCTGCTATTTACAAGGTTGTTCAGTGCTGTTGAGTTGGTTCATAGCGACCCTGTATAGGGTTTCCAAGGAGCAGCTGGTGAGTTTGAACCACTGACCTTGTGGTTCAAACCGACCTTGCGGTCCAATGCTTTATCCCATAGCACCACACCAAGACTCCTCTTCATAAGGTTGTTGTTGTTAAGTGCTGTCGAGTCAGTTCCAACTCATAGTGACTTGTATAGGGTTTCTGAGGAGCAGCTGGTAAATTCAAACCGCCGACCTTGCAGTTCAAACCAACCTTACAGTCCAATACATTATCCCACAGTACCATGCCAGGACTCAATTAATAAGGTCAGTGGTGGCTTTTGTGTTTCTATGATGCTGGAAGTTGTAGCACAGGTATTTTAAATGCCAGCAGGGTTACCCATGGTGGATAGGTGTCAACAGAGCTTCCAGACTAAGGCAGACAGACTAGGAAGAAGGAGAGACCACTTCTGAATGGTTAGCCACTGACAACCATATGAATAGCACCAGAACCTTATCTGATAGAGTGCTGGAAGATGAGCCCCTCAAGGTCAGAAGGCATTCAAAATATGACTGGAAAAGAGCAGCCTCCTCAGAGTGGAGTTGACTTTAATAACATGGATAGAACACAGTTTTCAGGACCTTTGTTTGCTGATGGGGAGAAACTTCTCAAAATGAGAAGAAACAGCTGTAAACATCCATTAACAATTGGAATATGGGAAATATGAAGTATGAAGCAAGGAAAATTAGAAGTCATCAATAATTAAACGGAATGCATAAAGATAAATAATCTAGGTATTAGTGAGCTGAAATGGACTAGTATTGACTATTTTAAAAA